CGCACCTTGGGCGTCCTGGAGCGCCTTTTGGGTGTCTCGGGGGCCTCTTGGGCCGTCTTGGTGGCTTCTTGGGGCTTCTTGGGGGCCTCCTGGGGGCCTCTTGGGGGTCTCTTTGGGGCCCCTTGGGGCCTCCTGGGGCTTTCTTGGGGCGTCTTTGGCGCCTCTTGGGCCGTCTTGGGGCTCTCTTGGGCCGTCTTGGGGCCCTCTTGGAAGCCTCGTGGGCTGTTTCGGGGCGCTCCTGGGGGCCTCTTGGGGCGTCTTGGAGCCACTCCGTGCCCAGGGGCAAAGTGGTGGATCCCTGTGCACGCCTACGTTCGTTGTTTCCTGGTTTCCTCTCCCCCTCGTTTCCCCGTGTCCCCTCCTATAGGAAACGTATACACAACGTATAGGAAAAGTGTAGGAAACATACAGGAAACGTATACAAAGCATATAGAACACGTACACAAACATATAGGACACGCGCACAACACATATAGGACACGTATACAAACCATACATGACACGTATAGGAAACATATAGGAAACGTCTAGGACACATATAAGAAACGTTCAGGAAACATATAAGGCACATGTATGAAACGCATAAGAAACGTATAAGAAACGTGTAGGACACACATAGGACACGTTTTAAGAACAACGTGTAGGAAACATGTAAGAAACGTATAAGAAACACATAGGAACCATATAAGAAACGTATGGGAAACACAAACGAAACATATAGGACACATATAAGAAACGTATGACAAGCATATAAGAAACGTAGAGGAAACAAAGAAGACACGTGTAGGAAACACATAAGGCACGTATAGGAAACACGTAAGAAACGTACAGGAAATACATAGGACACATATAGGAAACATATTGGAAACGTATAGGACACATGTAGGAACCATGTAGGAAGTGTATAGGACACATATCGGAAACGTATAGGAAACGTATAGGAAACATCTAGGAAACTTATAGGAGCCATATCGGAAATATATGGAAAACATAAAGGACTCATACAAGAAACGTATAAGACATGTATCGGAAACATATATGAAACGTAAAGGTAACATATCAGAAACATGTATAGAACATATAAGAAACGTATCGGACACACCTAAGAAACACATAGGAAACACATACGCAACGTATGGGAAACACATTGGAACCATATAGGAAACATGACACGTATAGGAAACATATAGGACAAATACAGGAAACGTATATGTACCATTTAGGGAGCATGTAGGACACATATAGGAAGCATTTAGAAAACATACACAGAACGTGTAGGACACAGATAGGACACGTATACAACACGTATAGGACACATATAGGACACATATAGTAAACGCATACAAAACGTATAGGGCACATGCAGGAAACGTATACAAAACGTATGGGAAACGTATACAGCACGTATAGGAAACACAATGGACACGTATACACATCGTATAGGAAACGTATACAACAGGTATAGGAAACGTATACAAACCGTATAGGACACATATAAGAAACATATAGGAAACATATAGGAAACGTGTACACAACGTATAGGACACATATAGGACACGTATGCAAAACGTTTAGGACACATATAAGAAACGTATGCAACACGGAAAGGAAACATATAGGAAACATTTAGGAAACGTATACAAACGTATAGGAAACATATAGGACACGTATACAAAACGTATACGACACGTATAGAAAACATATAAGAAACGCATACAACACGTATCGGAGGTGAGGGGGTGATATCGAAGTGGAACGGAGAGCCCCCTGACCGGGAAATCGATTTCGGTTTCGTGTTCGTGCGTGCCGTGCGTGTGGGCGAGGCGAAGCTGCGTGGGCGGGCGAGAGAAAGTCTCCTGTGGCTGAGGCGCGGCCGGACCAAATGTCTCCCTTCCGGGCGGCCGGGGGCCCGCGGTGTCCCGCCGGTGTCCCGCTGGTGTCCCGTGCGGCTGAGGCGCGGCCAGACCAAATGTCTCCCTTCCGGGCGGCCGGGGGCCCGCGGTGTCCCGCCGGTGCCCCGTCGGTGTCCCGATTATGGTGATGATATTGATGATGATGGTGGTGATGATGACGATGTTGATGTTTTGTTTTGACGATCGATAGTGATATCGGTAGTGATATCGATTGTGAGATCGAACGTGAGATCGAATGTCAGATCGCTTGTGAGATCGATTGTGAGATCGATTGTGCTACCGAATGTGAGATCGATAATGAGATCGCTAGTGGGATCGATTGTGAGACCGAATGGGATATCGATTGTGAGATCGATTGTGATATCGATAGTGAGATCGATAGTGAGACCGAATGTGAGATCGATTGTGGAAACTATTGTTAGATCGATAATCAGGTCGGTTGTGAGATCGATCGATTGAGTTAGTAGTGAGATCACTATTGGTAATGAGATCGGTAGTGATTTCGATAGTGAGATCGATGATGAGACCGAATGTGAGATCGATTGTGAGTTTGCTTGTGATATCGATAGTGAGATCGATCGTGAGATCGATAATGATATCGAAAATGAGTTCGATAGAGAGATCGATAGTGAGTCCGAATGCGAGATCTATTGTGAGATCGATTGTGATATCGATAGTGAAATCGATAGTGAGACCGAATGTGAGATCGATAATGAGATCGATCGTGAGTTTGTTAGTGAGATCGATAGTCAGATCGAATGCGAGATCGATTGTGATATCGATTGTGAGATCAATAGCGAGACCGACTGTGAGATCGATTGTGGGATCGATTGTGAGATTGATTGTGAGATCGATCGTCAGATCGATTGTGAGATCTATCGATTAAGATCGGTTGTGGGATCGGTAGTGAGTTCGATCGTGAGATCAATCGAGTGCGACGTTGGTCCCTCCCCCCCCCTCACCTCCTTATCACCCGAAGGGTGGTCTATGCGGTAGGAAGCATATAGGACACATATAGGAAACATATCGGAAACAAATAGGACATGCATACGTCACGTACAGGAAACATATAGGAACCATACAAGAAACACATAGGAAACATATCGGAAACATATAGGACACGTGTACAACACGTATAGGACACATATAGGACATATGTAGGAAACAAGTAGGAAACACATACAAACGTATAGGACACATTTAGGGAACTTATAGGAACATATAGGAAACGTATACAAAACGTATAGGAAACAGTTCGGAACCATATAGGAACCATATAGGACACGTTTTTTTTTTCTCTCACAAAACGTGTAGGACACATTCAGGAAACATATAGGACACATGTAGGAAACATATAGGAAACATATCGGACACATATACAAAACGTATAGGAGACATATACACATCGTATAGGACACATATAGGAAACATATAAGAAACATATAGGAATCATATAGGGAACATATAGGAAACATATGGGGAACAGATAGGGAACATATAGGAAACAGATAGGGAACATATAGGGAACATATAGGAAGCGTATAGGAAACGCATACGAAACACACCGCACACCGCACACCGCACACGCACAAACACACTGACAGTGCGGAAACCCAACGGAGTGCTGTAGGGAAGGGCCGGGGGAGCGGCTCGCACACAGGAGCCGGTCCCCCCTACTAATACTACTACTACTACTACTACTACTACTACTACTACTACTACTACCACTACTACTACTACTGCTACTACTACCACTACTACTACTACTACTACCACTACTACTACTACTACTACTACTACTACTACTACTACTACTACTACTACTACTACTACTACTATCATCACGAGCAATGATCTCATTATGAAGGATAACGTAAGACTAGTACTACTAATACTCGCAAAACTGTTCATAGTAGTCATACTCATACTAACAATACAGAGCAGGCGAAACATCATATTGATAATTGGAAGACGAACACCAATAAGCACGAATAGTACGATGAGGAATCTTAGGAATAAGAAAACGAATGCGAATGATAATAGTAAGTATGGTAATGGTAATCATGGTAATAATTATACGGCTCAGCGGGCGAATAAGCATTATTCTGGCACGAAGAAGAATAATCAGACAACTAGCAATATTATCACGACGAATGCTACTTTAATATTGTCATTACCAGTAAGCATGCGAATACTATCAGCAACACACACAAAAAATAAGAAGAGAAACAAGAGGAGGAGGAGGAGGCGGAGGAGGCGGAGTCGGGTGGAGTCGGTCGGAGTCGTGGAGGAGGGCGGGAGAGGGCGGATGAGGGCGGAGGAGGGCGGAGGAGGGTGGATGAGGGTGGAGGAGGGCGGAAGAGGGCGGAAGAGGCGGAGGAGGCGGAGGAGGAGGAGGAGAACGAGGCGGAGGAGGCGGTGGAAGAGGAGGAGGAGGAGGAGGAGGAGGAGGAGGAGGAGGACGAGGCGGAGGAGGAGGAGGAGGAGGAGGAGGAGGAGGAGGAGGAGGAGGAGGAGGAGGAGGAGTCATGGCGCACGCACTATGCGCGATGAAAACCACCCCTCCGTCTCTTTGCATTCGATGCTGCTCAGGGATGGTGGGTGTTTCGACATCTTGCCCATGTAAGCTGTCACGTGCGCTGGCGCACCTGGCGAGCTCACGCCCTCCCTCCTCACTCCCCCTCTCCCCCTTCTCTCCCTCACCCCCCTCCATCTCCTCTTCCCCTCCTCCTCCGCCCTATTCCTCCTCCTCTTTCCACTTTGACCTCCCTCTTTCCTTTCCTCCCTCCTCGCTTTCATGACGTGGACCTCCAGAGGTGTCGACTTATTCTCTGGGTCAGATTCTGCATCCCGAGTTGTTTTTTTGACAGTCCCGGGGCCCAGCGAGGGCCCCCGGAGGCCGAACATAGCAACAGACATGCCGAATTGTGACTTCTTCGCGACTCGAGGTGGTCTGGGTGCCTGTTTCACTCCCCCAGCCTTCACCAGGGTGACGGATACGGAGCAAGCCCCCTCCTCTGACGCGAGGAGGACGAGTACATCCCCGCGCCGGAGTTCGACGACATGCCCCTGGCGCCCGCGGAGCCGATGCCAGAGGCGCCAGAGGAGCCAAAGGCCGAAGACGGGCCGCCGGAGGAGGCCACACTGGGGGGGGGCCTGCTGCCGGCGAGGCGGCGTGGCAGTCCGACGTCGCGAAAGATGGTAACCTCGTGAGAAGCGCCGCAGGAGCCCTAGATCCCCATCTTTTCCAGATCCCTGACGTCGTGACTTCTGCCACGACGTGACCCCCAAGAAGTCCGGACCCCTTCCCAGGGGGCCGAATTCTCATCCCGAGTCGTTTTCGACGGCCCCGAGGCCCGCGAAGGGCCCGGAGCCCGAAAATAGCGCACGTCTGCCCGTCGTGATTTTTGCCAACGCGAGAGGGTCTGGGTCCGCCGGCATGTTTCGAGTGGGATTTGAGGGGAGGCGCCGCCGCGACGCCGCGGCGTCGCCTCCTGCGGCGCGTCGTGGTCGTGGCCTGCTCCCGCCGCCCTGCAGCTCCGCGAGGGTGGCGGGGAGCGGGCGCGCCCTGTTCGTTTTCCACTTCTCTGGGTGAAGAAGTGGTGGAGGAGGAGGAGGAGGAGGAGGAGGAGGAGGAGGAGGAGGAGGAGGAGGAGGAGGAGGAGGAGGCGGATGGGCGGATGGGGAGGGAGGAGGGAGGAGGAGGAGGAGGAGGAGGAGGCGAAGGAGGAGGAGGAGGAGGAGGAGGAGGAGGAGGAGGCGGGAGGAGGAGGAGGAGGCGGAAGAGGAGGAGGAGGAGGCGGAGGAGATTGGACATGCGTCTGACCATGCATCTGACCACCACGGTGCTTCCCCTTCGCCTGAATTCCGACCCGGTGTGCTGTTCTCGCGCCGAGGGCCTCGTGCGGGCGGCGGAGGCAGCAGAGCCAAACCTGTGGATGGGCCTGTAGGGGTCCACATGCGAACCCTACCCCTACCCCCCACGATTTCTGAGGGGGGGGGGTGGGGCTTACTTCGCTCGGGAGCTCCCGAGCGAAGTGACCCCCCCCCCTTCCCCCTCAGAAATCAAATCGTGGGGGGTAGGGGGTAGGGTTCGCATGTGGCCCCTTAGCCTGGCAAAGGATCGGTGCGCGTGCAGCGCGCTCAACCTCCCTTCCTGGCCCTCGTGGCGCGGGGGCGCAGCCCGAGGGGGGGGGGCGCCCGGCGCGGCGCCCCGCGCCCGCCCCTGCACGCCCCCAGGCGGAGGCCGACAAGGCCTCGGAGGCCGCTCCCGACGAAGGCCTCCGGCGGGGGGGAGATCGGGGTCGGGCGCGCGCAAAAGGGGGTAGGGGCAGGGGGGAGGGCTTCTTAGAGGCAGCCTCCTTCTTAGAAGGCGCGGGCCTTCTCCGTAGACGTACGGCCCGCGCCTTTTACGACGCAGCATCCTTCTAAGAAGCCTTCCCCTCTCCCCCTTATACACTTGTGCGCGCCGCCAGCGGGGGGCTCACCAGCCTCGAACTTGTCCCTCTCCCTGAGATTGGCACGCCAAGAGGCGATGACAATCTTGGGGATGCACCCTCAGAAACTGAGGGTGCATCCCTAAGATCGCCATCGTGATGAGGCGATGCCCGACATAGGGATGGGGATATGTTCTGGGCTGGTAAGGGGCACCGCGAGGGCGGGATGGGCTCGGGGGGAGACAGGTTCGAGGCTCGTGGTTCTTGGGAGAGGGGTGGACCTAAACGGTGTTTTGGCGATTTCGTGGGCTGTTTGCGTTTCGATGTCGTTTTGCGTTAAAGGCGGATTGAAGACAAAACGAGGGAACACGAAAACACAACGAAAGCCAAAAACACCGTTTAGGTTCAGCCCTGTTTTTGGCCTTTTTTGGTTGGTTCTCGGCGATTGTCCAGCCTCGGGGTGCGCTCCAGCAGCTGCGCCTCGCCGAAGGCGTTCCGGGGGTGTCCAGATCGTCCCGAGCAGCTGCCAGAGAGCCGAGTTATCACCCGAAAGAAAGGTGGTCAACGTTCCGGGGTATAGGCGCAGGGGGGAATGCAACACTTCCCCATCGCCCATTGACGGCCGACAGGGGCCCGATGGCCCACCCAGCCCAGGACCGTGCGGTTTCGCTAGCGGGGGCCTATCGCCGATCCATCGGCGATGCATCGCTGATTCCAGGTTGATACTTGTCCCCCCGCGCCAGTCCCCACCCCCCTAACGTGTTGCCCCGAGGACTGGGAGGGAAGGACGGAGCCTGGGGGGAGGGCAGCGGCCGTTGTTCTGTTGCTGTTTTTCGTTTCCGTGTTCGACCTCTGGGGGGGGGGCCCTTGCCTGGCCAGAGGGGCCTTTTTTTGCCTGGCCGGGGAGGAGCAGCCAGTCCCGGGGACGGGGTCGCGTGGGACGGGACGGGACTCGGGAGAGGAAAGGATACCCATACCTCTACACCTTGGGCGATGCTTAAGAAAACCCAAGTTTTCGGGCAGAGTCTCGATAATTCTTAACGTTTCAATGTGAATCCTAAGATTTTAATGGAAACGTTGGGTTTTTATTCAAGTTCTGAGACTATGAATTTCTTAACCCATGATTTCTTAAGCATTTCGCAGGGTGTATCCTTTTCCTCGTTTTCCCCTGTTTGGGCCTCCGAGGAGGCCCTCGTCGCCACCGCTGGATTCGCCTCGACATCCCGGTCAGAACGCACCCCGGGAGAGGTCGGGGGAGTAGTGGTATCGGTACCTTTTTGGCTTCCCCAGGGGCGGGACGGGATGAAGGAGAGCGGGGAGGAGAAGCACGAAGAGGGCGAGGGGGCAGGGCGGTGGGAGCCTGTCATAGGAGATGGTCAGGATTCCCACGCTGCGGGCCAGCGAGGGGGGTATCCACGCCCGGGCGCGTGTGCCCGCTGTGAAAGATAGAGGGGTCCTGAGGGAGATGAATCCTGAGGTTTCTCGCCGTTGTGTTGGGCTCGGGGCCTTCCCGTGGGCCGGGGCCCTGGTGGTGTCGCGTGGCCCTCATGGGCCGTCCTGTCGATCTTTCGGGGCCCGGCACCCTCTGGGACGTCTCGGGGCGCTCTGGTGGGCCCCTCGGGGCCGTCTGGGGCTCACTTGAGAGCAAACTTGCCAGGATACATACGCATACCGCAAACATTAGGAGACATTGATGGTTTTGACCTGTAAACGGGGCTCTCTTGGCCCGTTTCGGGAGCCTGTTTGGAGCCATCTTCGGCTTTGTTGGGCTCGTCTTGGCTCTCTTGGAGGTCTCGGATGCCGTCTTGAAACCATCTTGAGCCGTCCTAGCGCCATCTTGGGGTGCCTGGGTGACAGAGCAGGGCCCAAGAGAGCCCAACATAACGAACCAACGACTGTCGACGGCAACGACTATGAATACGTTTTGACTCGTCCTTGTCCTCCCAGTCGCTCCTTGTCGACAGTCGTTGCCGTCGACAGTCGTTGATTCGCTATGACAGAAGTATTCGTTGAGACGTGTTGACGACGTATTCAGCCACTCTACTTGGGTGAGCAAGGACGTGTCGACTTGCCCCCTTTCGCTCCTTGCCCTTCCTCGCCCACCCACTCACGCCCATCGTCCCATGCGTAGAAAGAAATCCGTGTGCGTGGGGGCAGTACGTGGGGACAGTACATTGAAATGCATACCCATCAGTCGTTAGGTATTTTTGAGTTTCCAGAGTCCACTCTACTTCAAGCGCCTTCCTACTTCAATGATCGAGTGGGTTCACCTTCTCCGTCCTCCTAAGGGGGTGGACGGAACCCAATCTACTTTCAACGCCTTCCCGCTTCATGTTTCTACCTACTCCTTCCGACCGATGGGTACTCCAACGTGGGACCACACAACCACGCGCGGGCTTTACGCCCGCCGCCGCCCGCTCACTCTTATCCGCAAGCGCGGAGCGCGTAACATGATTTCAGTCATTTTAGCCTCCTCGCCTTCTTCTCGGGCTTCCGATCGCCAAAAGCGGCCTCAGATGCCTCACATTTCGCTCCAAATACACGCGGCGTCCAGGTCCCCGGGCCCAGGGGCAGACCTTTCTCTTTCAAAACTCACCCCCTTAGTAATCGACCTTCGCCCACGGGGTCCGCGGCCCATTTCTGGCGCCTTGGGAGATTGTTTCGGCTTCGAGTGGCTTCCCATATACAGTTCCGACCTACGAATAGCTTTAAAAATGCTTGGACGGCCCCAGATGGCTTCCAGATTTCTCTTGGCAGGTCAGGATTGCATCACGACGGCCCGAGAGGCCCACAAGACGCCCCAAGACGACTCCAAGATAACCTCCGAGCCGGCCCCAAGAGGCAAACATCTTTCCAATCTTGGACTAAGACATGCAATTTTGATATCAGTGTTGTCTTGGATTTCGCAGCCTCCAAGACGGCCTTAGAGGCCCCCAATATCGCCCCAAGACTGCCACAAGACGGCCCTGATGTGGCCCAAGGGAGCCCCAGTATTGCCCAAGGTGCGTCCAAGACGCCCCAACAGCGCCCCATAAGGGTGTGAATAAGGGCCCCAACGGGTGAAGTCGAACTGACAGTTCGAGCGTTCTCCCCAATGGGACCCCCGAGACCGCCAGCAACCCCCCAAGAGCCCGCCAAAAGATCCCAAGAGGATGAAGATTGACCAGACTCCCAGACTGCCGACCTTGTCCGCTTTGATCGCGCATAGGCACCAGTCCTGAGGTCAGGCACTTTAGGCTGGTCCACCGGAAAGCTACGCTTGCACGGCATCGAGCGCGATGCCCTCTGCAAGCGTCCTCATCCGCCTAGCCGAGCTTCTGCGTTCGGCCCTTTCTGTTGCCCCCGTGATCGGCCAAGTACCTTTTTGATTTGTGACAGGCACATTTTTAGCAACTTGCGTCACACACATTCTTCCTCCTCCTCTCCCTGCCCCTCTCCCCGTTTTCCCACTTTGTCCTCTCCTCTATCCTTGGCTGGTGGAGAACGCGGGGGCTGGTGGGGGAAGCACAGCAGCGGGTGGTAATGCATGTTTCCACGTATGCATGCTTTGGGTTTGAATGCACAACCTTGCCCTAACCCGTGGAGCATGTGAAAGTGAGCAGAGCTGGGGATCATGATGCAACGACGATGACAAGGCCTTTTCCCAAATGCCCTTGGCTTTTGCAGCGGTCATTAAAATCAAAGCCAGGAGAGATATTGCAGAAGAAGGAGGAGGAGGAGCAACGGCAGGAGCAGGAAGACGAGGAGGAAGGACCCGGAGGTTGAGGAGGTAGGATGACCGAGGGAAAGAGCGAGGGTGAGGAGGTGGAGGACGAGTGGAAGGAGGAAGTGAAAGGGAATGAGATGTAGGAAGGGAAGGAACATGTTCCTCTTGTTCACTCGTCGCCTATTCCTCCGAATTGTTTCCTCCTGAACCCCCCGGAGTCTGTTCTAAGACAATCACAACAGGCCGACGATGGCCCAAGGCCGACCCATAACGACAGACCACACTCCCTGACCGCCCCCCCCCCACACCGAAGATGGCCTCAGAATTTGCCCGGTGCGGCGGATCCCAGTACTCCTGGGGAGCTCTCAAGAACCCCTTCTTTATTCGGCCCTCGCTCTTGCTTCTTACTCAAACCATGTTGGAATTATTTGTGGGTGCCTACATGCGTGCAGCTTTGAGCTTGACTGTCATCGGCTTGCTAGAACCTGAGCGTGCGCGAAGCGCTCGCGTGTTCCTGGCGTGGCCTTACATACAACTATAGCATGCGTATACATATGTACATATATTTACATGGCTACTAAGATAATGCATGAGGGTTCGTGCTAGGCTTTCTGGGCGACCGTGGAAAATTCTCCAGGACTCGGAAGCCCATGGGAAGCGACAAGGCGGTGAACGAAACACCATTGATAAGCCTCACGTGTTTGAATAGAATTTGGCTTCTTTGGGGGCGTCATCGGGGGGCTCAATTGCCACTTAGAGCCGTCTTTGGGATGTCTTGGAGCCCCTTGGAAGTACGTTGAAGGAAATCGTGAACTATCTGATGCCATCGCGGAGCCTTCTCGGGCCATCTTTTGGACGATGTAACTTCTGACGTAACCTTGGTCGCGACGCCACAGGAGGGGTAGAGGTGGCGATCAATTTTCCAACGCAAGCGCCACAAGCTGCCTTGCTCATCCCCACCCGCCCTCCCTTCACTGAGAAGCACACGGGTCCAAGGACATGCCGAGGTCGCCATCGGATGCAAGGCCGTTCGGACGGGCGCCAGGTGCCCCAGGTGCCCCAGGTGCCCCAGGTGTCCAGGAGGTCACAACGTGCTAGGCGCGCCAGGTGCGCCAGGGGTCCAGACGTGCGAGGCGCGCCAGGTATGCCAGGTACCACGGCGCCCCAAGGGTTCCAAGGGTGCCACTATCTGCCTGGAACATATCCCTATCCTTATGCTGGGCATCTCCTCATCACGATGCCAATCTTAGGGATTCCCTTATTTTTTGAGGGCGAGTCCCTAAGATTGGCATCGCCGTTCGGCGTGTCAATCTTAGGGATAGGGATAAGTTCGAGGCTGGTAATGCCAGGCGCGCCACGGTGCGCCAGGCGTGCCACGTGCTTCCGCCGCCGGCGATGCACGCGCGGCGCGCAGACTGCGCCAGGTGAGCCGAGGCACGTGCCAAGCATCGGGAGGGGAAACAACACACAGACACAATTAATCGTCAATTCCCCAGAAAAAATTAGGAAAATATGGGAAGTGGGGGGGAAGACAAACACGTAGAAAATATGGGGAAATATGGGGAATCCTGTTCTTTGTGTGTGTGTGTTGTGTGTGTTTATTGTGTGTCCCAGGGCCGTATCGGGCAATATGGCTGGTAGCAGCCCCACGGCCCCTGTCAAGCGCCAGTGCAACGTCGCGGCGGGGTGGTCTGCCTTGCGCACGCTGTGCACACCCGCAGTCAATGCGAATTTGCTGTTGATGCCGGCAGTGGGCGAGCGCGTCCCTGTTCACCGACGATGCAGCGTGCTCGCAGTGCATTCGTCCAGGATCCACGCTTAAGCTCTGCCGCCGCGCGCACTGTGTTTCGTTCTCTCGACTGCGATGGTGAGGGGCGGGCGCATGGGCTCTGCTTGGCGGCCGGTCGAGTGGGGGATGAGGTGCTCACCAAAGAGGAGCACGGGCGAACCCCTCCCCGAAGGGGAAGAAGGGGGACTGAAGGAAGGACCGCTCCAAAGCTCTGGGCCCACAGGGCTGGTGGGATTCTGGCTTTCGGGGGCCTCTTGTAGGTCCTGCTCGGGCCCTCTGCGGCCGTCGTGGGGGCTTCTTGGAGACTGGTTTCTATCTTGTGGCGCGAAGCGGTCGTCAACCCTGTCCAAACCTCTCCCCAGGGTTACGGCAGCGATTGTACGCAAGGGGATGGGGAAGGACCCCTCCCCAGATGCCGATGCTCGCGCGCAGGTCGCATCGCCTCCCCCCGCACCGACGTGCTCCACTTTGCCCACTTGCCCAGGGCCCGGATCCCCCCGGGTGACGTCCGAGACCAGGAATTGAGAAGCAATATCTTGGGCCGTTTTGGTGCCATCCTTGCCGGCTCAGGCGCTTGCTGGGCCTGCGGAGTAGCGGTGCGGGGCAATGGGAGGGCGCGGGTCGAGCTGGGTCCTTGGCTCCACCAGAGCCTGCTGGTCGACGGTGCAGGAGACCCAGAGATTATACTTCTTGTTTTTTCCCGTACGGATGGGAGTGATCCGTCCCCCCTGAGTGGCCCTCGCTTTCCCCCTCCCCTCCCTGCGGCCGCCCGCTCCGTCCCGCCTCCTCTTGCGCGCCGGCCTGGCCAATTCGCTACGACGGTGCCCCCGTTTAGTTAGCTTCTTACGCCAGCGCAGACGACCCCTGCCTAGCCGCCGACGCAAAAAGTTCTCTTCCGTACGGGATCCCCATATGTTTCGGTCCCTCCGGGGACCGGCTTTTTGTTCTCAGTAGTTTTGGACGGTCTTGGGGCCCAGCTATGGCAAACAGAGGTCGAATTCGGCGAAGAATTAGCATCTTGATGCGCTGGAGTAGAGACTTCCTCTAGCGCTCAGCCGCGTAGCGAGTGAGCCGTTAGCAGTAGCGAGCAACAGCTCCCTCTGGCTGCAGCCAGCAGCAGCCAGCGGCGACCTGCACCCAGCAGCCAGAGGCAGAGAGTAGATCGGAGGTCAGCAGCAGCCAGCATGAGGCGTTCATGGCCCAGCCGCTCGTCTCGCCTGCCTTGAGATCCGACGTCGCGAACAAGACAAACAGCATCGCGAGAACTCGCGACAAGAGCCCTCGACCTTGTCTCTCTCTGTGAGGGTTTTCGAGCAGGGGCCCGACACCGGGCGAAAACGCCAGGTGAGCGACGCAGAACAGTGGGGTCGACTGCGCCAGCATTCGCGCGTAAGCTGCCCGCGTAAGGTCGTGCGTGAACGCCCCCGTTTCCAGTGGAGCGTGCCGCGTTGGCGGCCCGCGTGAGCCACCTCGTGAGTCGTTGTGCCATCCCGCGTGAGACCCGGCTCTGTTCGTCGCTCAGGTGTGAACAAAGATGCAGCGCCCGAATCGCAGTCGGCGGCGAGCCTTCTCAGACGGCGGTGGGGCTTCTCAGAAGCGCTCGCGCCCTCTCAGCAGTCTTCTATGATTTCTCCGAAGACGGAGACGGCTTCTCAGAAGGCCGGAGAGGGCTCTGAGAACCCCCCTGGCCTCCTTCTCTGTGAAGCCCTGCCCCTTCTCGCTTCTCCCCTGGGCTCGCGGACGAGAATGCGGCCATCCTTCGGGCCTCCGGCGGCCGTTATAGGACGATCCGGGTACCCCGGGGCACGTCCTCGGCGAGGGGCAGCCGCCAGAAGGCATCCCGAGGCCGCAGAGCGGCCGAGAAGCGACGAAAGCTTACGAAGACCTCGGGCCTCAAGGGCCCCGACCTCTCACCTCCTCGGGGTCGGACCCATCTGGCCTTCCCCGCGGGGTTCGCCGCCGGTCCGGGTGCACTGCTGCTCTCGCCCGTCGCGGCCCCCTCTCGCGCGCGCCGGCGGTGGCGGCGGCCCCGAGCCGCAGGCGCCGAGGGCGACGACGAGGGCGCCGCCTCGGCGGACGCCGAGGAGCCTGGCGAGGCGCCGGGCGAGGCGGAGGGCCCAGGCGGCGAGCCGGCGGGCGAGGGCGCCGAGCCGGCGGAGGACGGCCTGCGGCCTGCCCGTCTGCCCGTGCGCCCCCCCTCCTCCTCCTCCTCCTCCTCCTCCTGCTCCTCCTCCTCCTCCTCGAGGAGCCGGGGGGGGCCCGGGTCTCGGAGGAGAATCGGGGGCCCCCAAACGGGGTGGTGACCACACCGTGCGGTGACCCCGTGGGGATTCGGGGTCACCGCACGGTTTTGGGACTCGAGGCCTTCTCCGAGGGCGTCTCGGGCGACAGGGGCCTCCGGGGTCCCAAGACCGTGCGGTGACGGACCTTGCGGTGAGGTCTTGGGGGATTTCGAGGTCACCGCACGGTCTGTCACCGCACCGTTTCGGGACTCCAAAGAGGAGGTCGGAGTCATCTCGAAGGGGGGAAAGCACGCCACAGACATAAACTTTTGTCGCTCCGCGCGGATTTCTTGGGTCCGCGCTTTTGCCCCCCCCCGGCGGCGCCTCCGGCGCCGCCCCTGGTGCGCTCCGCGCGCCAGGCAGGGGGGTGCAGCGCAGGTCCAAGAAGGCCGCGCGGAGCGCCAAAATTTTTTGTTCATTGCGCTTTCTCTTCTTCTGTCATCGGCGGCGAGCGAGGGGGTAGGTGAGAAGGAGGAGGCCTTCTTAGAGGGCGGCGGGGCTGCTCAGAAGCCCTCGGGCCTTGTGAGAAGTTTTCCGATCCTTCGAGGAAGGCTCAGGACACTTCTCAGAAGGCTGGGGGACTTCCGAGTCTGCTGATAAGGCCCGCCCCTTCTCATTTCCCCCGGCGCTCCGCCGAATTCAGATTCGGGCGAATGGGTCCTTCGCACAGGGGTCTCAAACATATGCGCAATAGTTCGTACAATCGTTCGTGCTGGATCGTGCCGGATGCGGGCAAAATGCGGTGCATTTGGCATCGTTGGTTCGTGAGAGAGGCCACGCGCCATGAGCCACATGATGAAGTATCGCTTTTGTTGTTTTGCGACTCCATTACGAAATATCCACAGTACCGGAGCCAGCGGATACAGCCAGGGCCCCGGGAAAGGGGGGCACGTTTATTCTAAAAGTCAGCCACGCGCAGACGGGGTTGGGGGGACGGGGGAGGGTTTATTAGAAGCACCCCTGCTTGTCAGAAGGCGCGGGCCTTATTTATAGATGTACGTCAGGCGGCTTCTAAGAAGCAGCCTCCTTCTAAGAAGCCTTCCCCCGCTCCCCTACCCCCTTGTGCGCGCCGCCAAGGAGGGACTCAGGTCTCGGAGGGCGATGAGGTGGTCGGATTCAGATTCGGGCGAATGGGTCCTTTGCAAAGGGGGTCTCAAACATATGCGCAATAGTTCGTACAATCGTTCGTGCTGGATCGTGCCAGATGCGGGCAAAATGCGATGCATTTGGCATCGCTGGTCCATGAGGGAGGCCACGCGCCATGAGCAACAGGATGAGCTGTTGGAGCCTTTTCTTTTATTTCAGTGCGATAGCGGGCGTCACCGGGGGGGGGAACGGGGCCGGTGACGTCACGTTGCGCGCTGGCGGCGTCTGAGAATGGGAATGACCGAGGACGGGTAGGAGCAGCATGTAGATGACGATCTGCACCACGGTGCCTGTGTGAACCACAGTGCCTGCGTGCACCACAGCGCCTGTGAACACCACAGCGCCTACGTACACCACAGCAGCCGCGTGCAACACAGCGCCAGTGTGCACCACAGTGTCTGCGTGCACCACAGCGCTTGTGTACACCACAGTGCCTGCGTTCACCACAGCAGCTGTGTACACCACAGTGTTTACCACGGTGCCTGTGTGCACCACAGCAACCGTGTGTTTCGAACTTTACAAGAAATCCTTATGACAAAATGGAACGCCTGTGGATTCCACAGGAAAAATGTGTTATTGGATTTGGAAAGGAGTTTGCATGAAAAAAGGAGCGCCCCTGGAATCTACGAGCCCTCCCGAGTCCTCCCGCATCATCCAAACTCCTCTGTCCAGAGGGCTCCCGCAGAGTTGGCCGTACGAGAACCAATTACACTGATTCACCAGACCATTTTTTGGGATGCGCAGTGAAATGCGCACGCGCGCTGTAGCGCAGACCCGCACGCCGGGGGAGGGGGTGAGGGAGAAGGAGGAGGAGGGGGAGGCGGGAAGAACATCGCATTCTACTCTCAGCACTTCCCTTGCGTGATGTTAAGCTGTCCGCAGCAGATCCTCACCTGCATGCTCCTTCTACCTGTCCTGTGCACGCAGGCGCTGTGGTGTACACCAGCGCTGTGATACACGCGGATGTTGTGGTGTGCACATGCCCTGTAGTGTACAGGCCCTGTGGTGCACGCAGGCACTGTGGTGTACACAGGCGCTGCGTTGCACATGGCTGTTGCGGTGTACACAGGCGCTGTAGTGTAAGCGCGCGCTGTGGTGCGCGCGAGCACTCTGGTGTACACGGGCGCTGTGGTGCAGATCGCCACCTGCATGCTGCTCTACTGGGCCTCGGCTATCCCTAGGCATTCCCAGATGCCGCCGGCGCGGAAAGTGACGTCACTTGGGGGCGTGGCGGGGCTGGCGTCGGCCGCTATCGCGGAAAAGAAAAACAGGCTCTTGCACTTTGTGTGTTTTGCGGCCCCACGACGAAAGACCTCTTGTTGCCCAGAGCCAGCGGATATATAGCAAGGGCCCCGGGTAGGGGTGGCGGGCCAGCCGAAAGGCCAGCCACGCGCAGGGAAGGGATTGAGGGCAGGGGTGAGTGGGGCTTCTTAGATGCCTCCCTGCTGCTCAGAAGGCGCGGGCCTTATCTATAGATGTGCGGCAGGCGCTTGTAAGAAGCAGCCTCCTTCTAAGAAGCCCTCCCCCCTCCCGCCACCCCTGTGGGCGTGCCGCGAACAAATGGGCCAGAGCCTCTGAAGAAGGTCTGCCGTAGCTGTTGTTTCCTCGGGTGGCGGCAGTTCCAGTCAGCAGAATGGGGCGGGGGGGCGTCCCCTAGTACACATCACTGAACCAGGTCCCACGACAGCCAGTCGTGGTCAGAACGCTCCTTTCGGGGAGTACCGGTATCAGCAATTACCCTTTGTTTGCCCAATTTGCCCGTGGTCCCTGCCTCCCTTGAGTTCCGTGAGTCGCATCTTTTCACCACTTTCAATATTGGCTTGCTTCAGGCCGTGGGATCCTCACCCATCGACCTGGCTTTCGAAAGATGCCGCAGACAGGTGGGCCCAGGGCTCCGATCGTGATTTGTGTGTTGCGAGGTTGTGCAAGTTCTCGCGGGCGGTTTTGTTGCCCCTCAGTCCCCGAGTGCCGCCCGCGAAGGTTGGCCGCTCTAAAAAATGTGTGAAATCTTGGGGTACACCTCGCATAGGGGGCCATGCGGACGAACCCCTATCGAGGATGGACGCCAACCCATCGTATATCGATCGAAGAAGAAAAAACGCCATAAACATACATCAGGAGGAGAAAAAACACACAGACACAATTAATCGGTGATCCCCAGGAAAATATGGGAAAATATGGGAAGTGGGGGGGAAGACGAAAAGCCAGAAAATATAGGAAAATATGGGGGATATTTTTATTTGTGTGTATTTATTTGTGTGTTCCAGTTCCCCTTCAATACACTGTTGACGCTCCGCGCGAATTTCTTGGATCTGCGCAGGGTCTCCCTGGCGGCGCCTCTGGCGCCGCCTCCGCGCGCCAGGGAGGGGGGCCCAGCGCGGATGTCCAAGAAACCCTCGTGGACCGTCGTGAAAATATGTTTTTGTTTTGTTTTTTGCCCCGAGAAAGTTCTGCCGCTCAGAAAACGGGAAACCCTAGGATACACCCCCCAAGGGGGCCATTCGGACGCACTCCTATCGAGGATGGACGCCCCCCATCGTATATCCCAGGGTTGGGCTTAAAAGTTCTGGTCCATATTCGAAAACCCACGAAGCCTGGTATACTGGTCGACAGATCCCTTGTTAATTCCTTGCAACGTCGGATGTCGGGGTGAGGAATGGAGGGCTCCAGACCACGCTCATCAAGCGAAGGGGGGAAGTGAGAAGCAGAAGGCCTTCTCAGAAGGCAGCGGGACTTCTCAGAAGGCAGTAACATTTCAGAAGGCCTGAGGACTTCCGAGCCTTCTTGGAGGGCCCACCCCCTATCATTTTCTAGGTATTCGATGTTTCGTCGGTAGGCCTCCCAGACGGGGTTGCGTGCTGAGAGGGCTCCAGATCGCGCTGTCCGAGGCGTGGTCCATAGCAACTGCCCGGGGGATAGATCTTCGCGGACTTCCACGGGCGGTGGATCTTTATTTATTCATGCATATATATATATATATATATATGTGAAAGAGCGTGTTCTACCGCTGCTGGCGGAAAACCGGGGGGGGGTCACTACCGGTTCGAACCCCTCCCCCCCCTCCAGAAAACCGGGGGGGTCACTACCGGTTCGAACCCCTCCCCCCCCCCAGTTCATCATGAAAAGGGGGGGGGGTCACTACCAGTTCGACCCCCCCCCCTCGAACTCGAACACCGAGGGGGGTTACTACCGGTTCGAACCCCCCCCCCCCTCGAAAACCGAGGGGGGGTGCGGACAGTGGTAGGGACGGTGGTGGTGGGGACAGTGGTAAGGGGACAGCGGGACAGTGGTGGTGACAGTGGGACAGTGGTGGGGACGGTAATGGTGGGGACAATGGTGAGGATAATGGTGGGAACAGTGGGGACAGTGGGACAGTGGTGGGGACGGTGGTGGTGGGGGCAGTGGTGTGGGGACAACGGGAATGTGGTGGAAACAGTAGGACAGTGGAGGGTACAGTGGTGGTGGGGACAGTGGTGAAGGCGGTGGCGAGGACGGCGGTGGGACAATGGGACAGAGGTGCAGTAGGGAAAGTGGTGGGGACAGTGGGGACAGTGGTGGGGACAGTGGTGGGAGCAGTGGGACAGCTCAGTGGGACAGCGGAGGAGTCAGTGGGACAGTGGGGACAGTGGTGATAGTCGTGGAGAAAGTTGGGAGAGTGGAGCCGTGGTGGGAACAGTGGTGGGGACAGTGGGGACAGTGCGACAGTGTTGGTGGCACTGGTGGGGACAGTAGGGGCGGTGGTGAAGCCAGTGGGGACACTGGTTGTGAGGACAGTGGTGCTGGGAACAACAGTAGGGGATGTGGTGAGGACGGTGGTAGGGACCGGGGGTCGTTTGCTGGCGGTGAGAGGGGGGGTGGGGAGGGGTTCGAACTGGTAGTGACCCTCCCCTCCGGTTTTCGAGGGGGGGGGGTTCGAACCGGTACCCCCCCCGAGGGGAGGGGGGGGGGGGGGGGGAGGGGGGGGGGGGGGAAGGGGGGGGGGGGGGTTCCAGCGGGGGGGGATTTTCGGAGGGGGGGGTCCCCGGGTTCCGGAGGAAAAGAGCGGCAATTTTCCACATTAGAGCGGCGGTGGATCACGCTCTCTCTCTCTCTCTCTCATATATATATATATATATATATATATTTGTATCCATATATTCGGGCCCCTGGGGCCAAAACATATCTCCATATCCACCGCCCGCTGCGGCACCAGGACGTCACTTCCCAGGCGGTGGATATGGATAAATCCCCGGCTCGCAACGCTGATCACCTCTAGGGATTCGATGTTTCCTTGGTAGGCCTCCCAGACGGGGTCAGAGTTGACGGGGTCGGAGGATCGCGCCACATCGCCGATGCATCCCTCCTCCTCCTCCTCCTCCTTCTTTTCCTCCTGATCGATCCGCGCCCCCCTCCTGCCCGCGATCCCCTCCCTTCCCTCGGCCCCTGCTGCCGCCCGGCCGAGAGCCCGCCCGCAGGGCGCCGGCGGCGAAGAGGCGGCCGAGGGCGAGGCCGCCCCGGCCAAGGACGAGGCGGCCGCCGAGCCGGAGGCGGCCGAGGCCCCCCGCGGCGTCGGCGGCTGCCGCCGCGGCCGGCCCTCGGCGGCCTTCGGCGGCCCGCGTCGGCGCGGCGCGGCCCTCGGCGCTGCGCGGGGCGCGGGGCGCGGCGTCGGCAGCGGCGGCGGTGGCGCCGTCGTCGGCGGAGGGGGGAGGCATCGGAGGAGGGAGGAGGAGGAGGAGGGGGAGCAGGATGAGAAGGAGGAGGAGGAGGAGGAGGAGGAGGAGGAGGAGAAGGAGGAGGAGGAGGAGGAGGAGGAGGGGGAGGAGGAGGAGGAGGAGGAGGAGGAGGAGGAGGAGGAGGAGGAGGGGGAGGAGGGGGAGGAGGAGAGGGAGAAGGGGGAGGAGGAGCTTGCCTGGTTCCAGGCGTGCGTATGTACGCGCGTATGCACACATGCAGCAGTCATGCATATTTGCATGCTCATGCGCGCGTGCACTACTACACACATGCATACGTACACACAGCCATACATTTATACATACATACAAACATTCATACAAGCATGCATACATACACACATGCATGCATGCATTTAGACATACATACATACATACATACATACATACATACATACATACATACATACGTACATCCATACATACATACATACATACATACATACGTACATACATACATACACACATACATACATACATACATACATGCATGCATGCATGCATACATACATACACACATACATACACACATACATACATACATACATACATACATACATACATACATACATACACACATACACACATACATACATACAAACATACATACATACACACATACATACACACATACATACATACACACATACATACATACATACGTACATACATACCTGCATGCATGCATGCATGCATACCTACACATATACACACAAACATACACACATAGACATACACACATACATACATACACATACATACATACATACATACATACATACATACATACATACATACACATATATATATATATATACTTGCGTGTATACGTGCAGACCTGCCACGCATCCATTCATGCATGCATGCGTACATACATACATCTATTCATTCACATCTTTATCTCAGATTGAGGGGGCCGAACGGTTATTCTCTTTCCCTGGGCGCGTGGCAGACGTGTGATTCTGCGCTGCGGATTGTTGGTGGCTGAAATGAGGTTCTGCGGTGCGGATCGTTGTTGTTGTTGCTGTTGCTGAATTCTCATGATTGAACTAATTATTGTTGATCCCCTCTCCGGTAATATATTTTGTTTTCCAATTGAAGTACCCCTTCCTGGGCTCGCACCCTTTGTTTTGTTAGGGACAGTCTTCCTACTTAAACTGCGTTGTTGGCCTCCTGGACTACAACGACAGCAACGGCTCCCGCCTGATACTTCCTCGCAATTTGCAGAGGAATCGCGCTATCGCTAGGGACTTCCTCGCAATTCATCCCAGAATCGCGTGCTCGCTTGTGACTTCCTCGCAATATATTCAGGCGCCACACCCTTGCCATTCAGGAGTCGCACTCTCGCCGCGGACTTCATAATTTACGCAGGAATCGCGCTCTCGCCCGATATTTCCGGGCGAATTGTTTAAGACTCACGCATTCGCGTAACATTTTTTTCGCTTGAAGTGTCTTCGCTGGGGCTCGCTGTGTTTTTACTGGGGATGATCTTCTTGCTCAACCTGTGCCCCTGGCCCCTGGTTTACAACAACGGCTCCCGCCTGCTATTTCCCCACAACTTATTGCCAAATCGCGCTCGCGCGAGGGACTTCCTCATAATTCAGTGCAGGAATCACGCTTTCGCGTGGTACATCCGTGCAATTTATTCAGACGCCACGCCTTCGACACTCAGGAGTCACGCTCTCGCTGTTTCGAGATATATTGAGAAATCGCGCTATCGCTCGAGACGTCCTCGCGACTCATGGAGGACGCGCGCTTTAGCAACCCGCCTGCTCGACCTGGCCGTCTAGGCCCGACTTCCCGACCTGCCCGTTACGGTCTACCCGCCCAATCTGCTTCTAGCCCCCCTCCTGCTATTTTCTCTCGTGCTCCATCTTCCTCTCTCCCCCATGTATTTCCTTCCATCCGTCCTCTCTTTCCCCGCCTTAGGGGCTGCACGAGGTACATACGCTGCAGGTAAGAAAGATACACCCCGAAGGGTGTACGATCGAAAACGAAGAGGGTGGGTATCGAGAATTTGGGATATACGTGTTGAGTGGCACGCGAGCAGGGAAGAGCGATCAGTATGAAACTGACTGTTGTTGTGGTTGCTGGTTGTTGGTTATTTGTTGTTTGTTGGTTGCCGTTCTTTGTTTCTTGTTTGTTGTTTGTTGTTTAGTGTCTGTTGTTTTTGTTTATTACTTGTTGTTTCTTGTTTGTTGTTTGTTGTTTGCTGCCCCCCCCGCGACCCGGCCCGCGACCCACCCGCGACCCACTGGCGACCCACCTGCGACCCGGCCCGCGCCCACCCGCGACCTACCCGCGACCAGCCCCGCGACCCGCCCGCGACCCACCCGCGACCCACTTGCGACCCACCAGACGTTGAACTCTCATTCTTGAAGAATAATTATTGTTGATCCCCCCCCACCGGTGCACATTGATTTTTTTCGATTGAAGTGCCACCCCCGGGGCTCGCACCTTGTTTTTTCTCAAGGAAAGTCTTCCTGCTCAAACTGTGCCCCTGCCCCCCGGGCTACAAC